AGTCTGTGCAGCAGGGCTCACCAGCAAGAAGCACACTGCAAGGAAGATTCATTCCAGGTACAGTTAGCGGCTTCCTTGTTTTTGGATGTGCAGAAACCTAGGCCTGCAGGGAAAAATAATGAAGAGAGCATTAGGGAGAAGATGATTCTACCTCCATCACGTAAAACAGCAATTTTCCATGGAATAATCTTCCCAGAGTTAGCCAATCCACCAGAAACATTTGCCTGTCAGCATTTCTAACCCTGAAACACTTGCCCATTTATCTGAGGATATAAAAGAATGCTGAGATACTTGAAGCAAGTCCTCACTGTGGAAATGGTTGCCTTCAGCTGCTGACTTTCATTCCAGATATTGGGATGTAGGGGATAGTACACAATACATATAGAAGCAAAGATCTGAAGGTGGAAGAGACTTACTTGCCACAGAAGTCCTCGTGGACAGCACAAAGAGTGAGTAACAATTCGGGGTGTCTCTGTAGCCAGTTATCCACCATCCGTGGGTGTCTGGGATCAACTTCCAGAAACACACTCCTGAAGGGACACACGACAGAGCAGAAAGTGGGAAGAGATACACAGTTAGCTTGCCAAGCTGAGAAAAAATAAGGTCTTCCTTCCCTGGCTGATTCCTATCCGTGCAGGAAATGAGATGATGAGGAAACACACTGTAATCCAATGATCCCCAAACAGATCCCAGCTATCCATTTAAGATTCAAATTCCAGCTGCGTCGTTCACTGAGAGGGTTTATCCTAAGAGGAATTTTCATGGTGTTCCTCTGCACGAGCAGTTAATCCTGGCATTGAGATGTAAGGAACCCAGCTAGTGAATCCCATGCAGGGAAGTTGTCTGCCCAGCCTTGCTGAGGGCCCCCAAAATTTAAGGTGAAACAGGCTGCTGAGGAAGAGGCAGAATGAAGCTTCAGGAGGCAAATGCATGAACACAGGGAGTATGAAGTCCCTCTTTGCATAAGCAGGAAAACATTAAGTCCCAGTACTGAGAATCATACAATATAACTTAGCACACATTTTTTTTCCCCTATAATAAATGTCTCCATAAATCAGTTACAAAAACACTACCAGCATTCAGGCCATTCAGTCCTACATACAGGACTGTAGCCTCAATTATTGCACCAGTTCTGGGCTTGGACACCGCAGGGCTGTTCCTGCTGCCATCAGGCTGTGTGACTGGCTCATTTCTGGGCCTCACTCCTGCCACAAGCCAGACCCACCCCAGCCTACAGGCACATGCAGCTCGTGGATCTGGTTGCAGCTTTTGACTGGATAGCAAAATACAAGTTTAATAAACAAAACACAGGCTGAGCCCCAGCCATATGCTCCCTTGAGAGTTCCTAAAATGTTCCACATTGAACACTCCCTATAAATCCACCAAACTAATTACAAGCTGGGCAAGGATCTCAACCCTGACCTTAAAAAACTCCCACTCCTCAATGGCAGCTTGACATAAAAATAAAAGCAAAAAGGGAAAGAACTATAATGCTAACAAGTAACCTCAGGGGAGCATTCTCCAGTGCTGGTGAGTCCGGAGGCCCTTGTGCTCCTGCGGTCACACAAAGCACAAAGAACAAATTCTTCCCCAAGCGCTGTGCTGCTCACTAATATGCTTCCTCTTCTCAAAACAGTGCATTTCCAGTGGTAAAAGGTAAAAGCTGGTAAAAGGTTAGGGCTTTTCAGCAGGGTATGTGAATGTCCTTGGGGGGAAAAAAAAAAAAAAAAAAAGAGTTTGGGTGCCTGAAGTATCCATGCACATGTCTCTAAGTACAACATAGATCCCACATGGCAGGGAACAGGAACAGTCAATTGAGAGCATTAATCACGGATAACTAATATTTAAGAAGCTACCCCTGGACAAGTCTCTTGTTTCTCTTGGGAAATTCAGCACTGTATGTTGGCACGGTTTACAAGTTTTCCCTAACTGAAGGGTGGGAGGAAAGCAGAGATCTACATCCATTCTCAGAGCTCATCTTATATCACTTCTTCCTCAGTGAGTTATTCTGCTTAGAAATTTCCTCCTCTGTGCTCTCTTTCTCTGTCCCTCTCCTCTATCTTCCTTCTGTTTTGACCTTTAAAACTTCTCACCTTGTTAAGGACTATGAAAAACCACAGCTCAAGGAAGGCCCATACAATGGTGCATATCCCAAACTCAAGCTCATTCTTGCTTATACCTCTGGCATGTTTAACTTATTAGATGAAGGGAAACTTTTCTTTTGTTTTTCCCTCTGTACATCCCTATATGAAAGAGAAAATGGAAGTTATGTAAGTGGATGGAGAGTAGACATGAAGTTCAGAGAGGGCAATGCTTACCCTGAATCCTTCAGGAGAGAAGGAGCCAGAGCCAGAATTGTTGTGATGACTCTCATGCCGTCATCTCCTCCATCCAGCGCATCAAGGTCCTCGTAGCTGATATTTGGGCAAAAGGAGACGTGAACAGTGAATGCTCGTGACACGATCCACGCCCTGGAGGATGCATTCCCCAAATGCAGTAACTTGCATCGCTCCACGATGGAGCTGGCCGCCCACAGCGGGTGAGAGCACCCTTGTGGCTTTTACACTAAGTACAGGGAATAATCAAAAGCTACCTCTAGGCTGAGGACTCCGAGCTGAGCACAAGCATAAAACCCTCCCTGAACTCTTCTGGAAAATCATGAGTCAACTGCAGCCTGGCCACGCAGGTACAACACATGGACATGTTCTGCCTACGCTTCTTGGACAGGGGAGGAGAGGAGGGGTATCCTACAAGGAATCACTTCCCTTATTTTGGCAGTGCCAACCACCACGTCTGACTGCCTTCTAACCCAGCAGACCAAATGAGGAGGTGGGAAGCTGAGCCAGTTTCAGGGACGGAATCTGCTTTGGTGCACGCCGTGCACGGGGCAGGTGCAGGACTCTGTCCCAACGCGCACGGCTGCCAGTGCTGAGGGGCAGCAGCACGCAGAGCAGTTCCACATCCCCCCAAACATATTCCAGTTTGCGTGGGTTTAAGGCAAGGCTCAGGACAAGAACAGGTCAGTGTTTCCACCCAGGTTTTTTCCATCACCAAAGAAGTTGCTCAGACTAATTACACTTCCTTTCATAAGCTTATATCAACTATGATGAAAACACTTAATGGGAAAAATGTTCTAAAACAGAAGAGTTTTGGATTGAAAACTGTATCATTTAAAAATGTGTGCTTTTTTATTTTTATAAATATTGTTATTGTTTAGGGTCTGTCAGTAGTATTAAAGCAATGCTATACTATTGCATACACATATATGTACACTATACCACAAGCACCACATGGATGTACATGTGTGTGTGTGTTATGAAGAAACAGCACTAAAACCTTCCTTCAAAGAACCAGACAGGGAAATATTATTTGCCTGCTCACCCGAGGATCTCTGGAGCCAGGGTTGCCATGTCTTCATGGAAGATATACGGCGGGTTACTCACTACGAAGTCTACAGGGCCCCAAGGCAGCAGCTGTTTGGCAGAACCTAAGAAGAAAGAGAATCACGACCAACTCTCACCCATAAACACCTCCCTCTAAGCTTGTTGTTAAAATCCTCTCCAGAAAACGATGTTTCCTTCCAGACTCGTGGGCACGTGTGCCTGGTGACAGGTGTGGTGACAACAGAACCACACGGTTTTTGCACGGGAACTCTTTAATTGCAGCAAGGGCAGCACAAGCCCAGATCTGTGGACACAACCCTGGCAAGTGCCAAAACCTGCTCCGAGCTGGCACGGTGCAGTAAAACCTGCAGCTCCTGGCCAAGCTGGAGCACATGGGGTAGCCAGAGAGGCCTCACCAAGTGGCAGCTTTAAGTGGCTTGTCCTGGCGCTGGCCGAGACCAGAGGCACCCTGCTCTGCACCCGATGGCTCACGCTCAGCTCCCCTAACTTCAGGTGCCCGAGGCTGGGCATTTAATCTAAACTAAACTACAGGTTCCTTGTAACATCAGTGGAGAGACAGGCACATACACGTTTATTTATAACTTCTGTGTCAGCATGCTAGGAATTACGCTGTGTGTATGTCTGCTTCTGCTCAACAAATGAGAGCACATGGGGACTAGCAGCTTGGACACAATGTTTAGACCCCTAAAAACATGAACAATTCATTTTTAAAGCATTTGGGGACCTCTCAGCTGGAATTCTCTGAAGGGAAAAGCTTGGCAGTGCTTCAGTTCTTACTGATCTTTTTCTGTATTACTTCTTAGCCCTTCTTACCCCTGCATCCCCAATGGTGGCCTTGGCGCTCTCTCATGCCCACCTCCCCTCAAACTAAAAAAAATAATTAAAATCATTAAAACAATAAAAATAATTACAGGATGAAACATCTTGGTGGAGGATGTGGATCCGGTCCTGGAGTTGCAGCCTGCAGATGATGCAAGAACAGAAAGAGGAAGAATTAAGGGACTTGTTTGTGTGGGTTTATGAAGAGCACATTCAACAAGCAGAACTTTCAATAGAGAACATCACTCCTTAGGGTTTCCCATCCCACTGGCTGCAGCTGGGCTCCTCTCAGGCCAAGCAGGGAGGCCAGGGTAGGATCTGCTCTTTGCCTGGGGAAGAGCCTTCAAAGCAGAGCACACTGCATGCCCGGGACAGGGCTCCTGTGCAGCCAAACCCCACGTGTGCGTAGGGCTGACCTGACCCCAGTCCTGGCTGGCTTCAGAATAAGCTCCCCAGCAGACGGAAATGGTTGGAGGGAGATTTTAAAATCACAGGAATCCTGGGCAAAAGGCCCATGCTGGTGCCGGGACAGCGAAGAGGCCAGGCTGAACTTCACCTTGGTGCTTGGTGGGAGCCTCATGTTATAAAAGAAGCCACAGAAGCAGAGAGCATGAAATATTGATGGGAGAAACAGAAGTAAGGCTTCAGCCCTGTGGTTCACTCATCAAAACACCCCTCCTTGCTTTTACCTCTGGCTTTTGTGAGCAGCAGCATGGAAAGCATGTGGCAAAGCTACAGAGAGACAAGGTTGGTCCAAACCTGCTGGCAGAAGAAGAAACCAAACCGCCCACAGGAGACATGACCTCCAGTAGCACCTACCAAATCTTCCCTGACCCCCCATGCCCTCCTCAGCTGCAATGACAGAAAAACAGGGCAGTAATGCTGGGGGGAGCCAGAAAGGAGCAGGCTACTCCCACCCTTAACGTCCTAAGTGACACACACCTCCTTACTGCCTCTAAGAGTGTTTCGCAAGTCCATAAAAAAGTTAAGGGTAGTGACCATGAAACGCTTTGAAAACCCTTGGAAGACAAAGAGTCCAACTGTTTATCTAGGCTGCTGTCCTCACAAAGTGTATTCACAAGTCAGTGGAAAGAAAATCCTCTGGTAAATATAAACCGTTTTTTTCCTGCTTAAACAAACATTTGCTCATTTCCAGTGATGACAAACTTGAATTAAGTGACCAAACCTTGAGGATTCCTGAACTTTCCTCGAAAAACAGTTTACCATAAATAAACACATAGTAATAATTTGGGCTTCTACCTCTGCGCATTCTCCCTGGTGAGATCCACAGCAGCTTCCTCTTTATCCACAGCTATCACCCGGCTCTGGGACAGTGAAAAAAGAAGAAGAAGAAAAAAAAGAAAACACAAAAAAAGCATTAGAACATTGCGCTTCCTGAGGAGACAGGCTTTGCCAAAAGGGATGTGCAACATAAAGCCTTCCCTGTTGAGCCTCAGCTCCTACCAGGAAGAGCCCACAAAGAATTCATCTCGGGGCACGGATGGGCTCAGGAGTCATTCCTGGGAAGGCCACTAGCGCAGCAGGAGGCACTCTGCAATGCCTGACCCAAACAGGCAGTTCTGACCAAACCAGCTCGGCTGACAACACACTCACTGATCCACATTCCCTGACCTTTTCAGAGCTCCCCATAGCACAAGACTCAACAGCCTGGCAGGCCACAATCTGAGGGGGATGTCAGCTAAAGGAAGCTCATGTCCTGGGCTCCTGATCTCCAGCGTGGACAGGATCCATCTCAGCAGTAACACAGCAGCTTGGGCCAAGGGTCTGATACCTTGCAGCTGTTACAGACACATTTTGCTCAGTTTTGCTCCCAGAGCCCTCGCAGACCTTACACCATATTCACCACTGAAGCACTTCAGAGTCTTCCAGGATATGATTAAGCTAGAGGAGCGACACAGATTTGTTTGATCTTCCATCATCCCCTTCCTGCAAAAGCCCAGGCAAAGGCCTGACTTACTATGGCTTGAACAGCTTTTAACAGAAGTTGCTGCATCTTTCAACAGGGGAAACATGCTGAAAGAAACCGCTCTCTTTGGGGACGATGGCAATATGACACTCATGGCCATCGCTCCTAGGAGAGCCCGTCTCACGGCACACACACACGAGGCTGATCCTTACCACAGAGGGCAGAGCTAAACCCATAAATGAGAAGCTCCTGGTGTTTTTTACTTCACATTCCACTAGGGCCAAATTCTGCCCCAAACACTAGAGATGACAGGGACCGTAAACCCCACGTAGCTGTCAGTGCAGCTACCATCCACTCTGTGTGGTGAAGGCCCCTTATTTCCCTGCCCAGTCTGTGTATTCAAGGCTCCTAATTTCCCTACCCAGTCTGTGTGGTCAACACATAGACATTTCTCTGGAGGCAGCTGCCTCTGCGTCAGGTAGCTGAGGAAGGAGCGTTATCAGTGACAGGACAGACTGACACATCTGTGAGGTTTGACAGGCAAGGAAAAGAGCATGAAGCAGAGTTCAGAAAATCAGGGCAATTACACTTTGAAGTCATGAAGCCCAAACGTTAGCCTTATGAGGTCAAAAGGAGGAAATCTGGTATCAACCTCTAATCCTTATGCACTGAATCCTGAACTTCTCCTCTAAGAGCCAAGGCCAGCCACAGCCACTGCCGATCACACCAAGGAACAGGCTGATCTGCAGTGCTAAGGAAAAGCAAGCATTTTTCCCTTGACTTCATTTCTCTTCCCTCTGTTTCCTGGCATATCTTACCAAGCAGGTCTCATGCCCCAGTAATCTGAGGCCATAAAGGCATCAGCCACCCAGATCTCAGACCCTTCCTGCTTCTTTTCCCTCTGCAGAGGGCAGTGGCTGTTATCAGGGAACAAAAGGTTTCAAAACAGCAGTGTGGCAGTTGGGGCACTGTGACAGCTGCTTGTCACAGTGACCCCAACTGCTGACATTTCTGTGGGAATGCCCTTCCGCTACTTATTTAGTCTTCAGGCTCCAAGATCTTTTGATCCACATTGTGGTTGTTTCAGAAATTGCTGTCACACAGTCAGCTAAATACAGTGGATGCCCATGCATCAACCACTCCTGGTGCACAGCACAGAATATTGGATTAAACCAATCCCCACCAGGGCTTCACACTAATGTGATAGAATTGGGAGCTGTAAAGGCTGCAGAGCAGGTACTTTGCACCTTCCACTCTGGCCACATCTTTGCCACTTGTGCAGGAAGCAGGGGACAGTGATTCTCACATCTCCTCCCTGCACCCAGCACGAACACACGGCACTGGCATCCCAGCAGAGCACAGGAGTCTCCTGCGATGGCTGGATGAAGACAAGTGCAGCGGGAAAAGCGCAGCGGGACTGTCCTCTACTAGAGGCACGTGGATGAACATTCAGAACCACTCACCTGGGGCAGTCTGCATAGCAGGCTCAGGGCAACTGCTCCAGAGCCACAGCCAATCTCCAGGATCACAGGACGAGGGACAGCAGCTGAGCAGAGGAGCCCTGAATTCCCCTCCTCATATTTCCAACATCCTTCCTCCACTACTAAGGAGACGAGATCCTAAACAAACAAACAAAATAAAAACAACATTTTTATTGAAGGAGCTCTGTCTTGATTCACATTAAGGCTTTTGTAGACTGAGGACTCAAGGGCTTTTAATTTCAGTTCCCTGTAGCCCAATTAAAAGCATTTCTCTTGCTGGTTTTTAACACACAGATGACAGTGATGGAGCTGATGTGCCGGATGTCACTCCACCTCCACCTCCCTACAGGGTGCTCTGATCAGTAACCAAATCCTCCAAATACCTTTCCCCACTGATCCTCCAAGATCTACCACTGATGGAAAAAAAAAAAAAAAGTAAGAAACAGCTGGAGCACAAATCTTCTGTAACATTATTTTATTCACCCCCAAATTTAACATTTTCAGGTGTTCTCAGTACAGTAAGTAATCTGGAGGCAGGGGTATCATTCCTACCAATAAGCCAATTCACAGCAGAAAAGCAAAAGCAGTGAATTCGTAACTCACCCCTATGAGCAGTTCCTTGCACAGGTTTTAGATTGCAAAGTCTCACTGCATCCTGTTAATATAAGGTTACTTGAAAATGAAAAGATCTCCACTCGTGCTTCTGTATCTGTACACGTCTCTGTCACCTCCTCCCTCTTGTTCATCCCCTAATTTTTTAAATCCAGGGACTATTTCATACAAAATCCAACACAAGACGAAAGGTATCAAAGACAGGCAGTTATGAGAGTGGGGTGGCTCTCACAACACAACCCTGTGCAAAAGTGGCCTTCCTGCCTAGGGCACTCGCAGCTCCTGGAAATCCAAAGTTCCACATTATTCACAAAGGAAAATATGGCTTGATTTTGCTAACAGGTATAAATGAGTTTACCAGGAAAATTAGAGGCCTTCCACTTTTATTAGAAACCTTCCATGTTCTAGGCATAGACAGGAACACCTAAAAGCAACGAGTCCCAGTTGGCAGGCCAGCCCCTTCTCAGGGAAACACTGTTTACAGGAGCCTAAGCTGGGCTTGCCCTTCCTTGGGTTTACCACCCAACTTGGAGTGCAGATGTCTTGAGAGCAAAGCTAGCGACTTTTTGTGAAGATACTTGTTGCTGCTGGTCACCTCCCATGCTAGCTGGGTCGCTGCAGAAAGTGGGCAAGGAGGTCGCTTGGAGATTCCTCCTGCTCAAAGAGCTTAAAAAACATAATCACAAAGGCAGGATTTGGTTTATTTGAATGAGTAAGAGAGGGGCATCACAACAGCGCTGAGCTCTGCTGCACTCACACCCAAGAGGGAAGGAGCAGAGGGCACTGTTACAAGGTGCCTCTCTCAGAGGTTTCGCTTCCCTGTAAAGTTAAGCCGAGTGACCAACATCCACAGGAGTCCCACTGCAGTGCCCTACCCTGGCTGATGTCTCTGTATTGGTACTTGCAAGGGAGCTTTGCTCAAGACCTCCAAAAATCCCATTTTTCTTGTCGCTGCTCTGCGATCCTTTCTGAGGAAATTATGGAAGGAAATGTTGTTACACTCCCCGAGAGGACTGTGAGCAAGCATCGGAGGACTCGAATAGCAACGGGACAAAACAAACACCTTATCCACACACGTGAAAGCAGCACTCGCGTTCCAGCTCGCAGCCCAACTTCTGCAGCGAAGACAACCTAGCCCGGGGGGCAAAGCAGGTGCTGCTCATTCCAAGACCACAGAAGAAAAACAGCCCCCAAACCCACCCCTTGGCCATTCAGCCACTCTCTGAACTTCTGCTCAGCTACAAATAAGCTTCCAGGAAGCCTCTAGAGTATCTTAGAAGCACCATCCTCCCCTGGGGCTGATCACAAGTTACTGACTCCAAACTGTTTACAATATCTTCAAAACCAGAGGACTGTTTTCAGGATTACCTTCCTTCTGACTTATGACCAGCAATTTCAAGCTGGGAGCTTTCACAGAACTTTTCACACTCTGCAGTGAAAAGATTCGCTGACTGCCTGCCAAAGCTCCTGTTTAAATAAGTTCTGGTTCAATATTTATCACATGCACATTAAAAAAAGGGATGTTTATATTACTTGAGCTTTTATACTCCTTCCTGATGCCCTTGGCTTATTGTTTTGGTCATTTCATATGCCTTTCCCTGAATCAAGAATTAATTATTTTATAATACGTGTTGTTTATGACAATATTTAAATATTAAATGAGAATTATCATAACACCTGAAAATTAAATAATATTATCCTGCAACAACCTAAAGAAACAACATCCTTTTCCAGGCATTAATGCCTCACTACAATCAGCAAGTTGAATAGTTATGATAACACATTCTCTTAAGAATGTATTTAAGCAAGCTCCACCGGCAAACAAAATGGAAGATAAAGTACATTTTAAATTGCAAAATAGGAAGAAAATAAATTAAAGCTTGCAACTACCTATATAGTGCACTGAAGACAACAAAACACAGGAGGAAGACACTCTGTACATCCTCATTGACTGGACACAGCACCACAGTTGCCTTTCCAAATGAAAGCCACGCTTGCCCAACATTGGCAAATGCATCGGGAGATGCTGCACTCATCATATAGAGTGGGTCAAGTTAGTCTGTCACCACTAGCAGCCTCCTTTCCAGGAGGATGAATGATTAAGCTATCTAAAATTGCTTTGAAACAGTAATCTTCAAATGGTTCTGGCACTTCTTCCATTTTCTGTGAAGCGTTCCAGACAAAATCTGTCCTTCTCCAGTTCTCTGAAGATGTCGGCACTGGAAATGGATAAATTACAGCACTTAGAAGAGCCCCTTTCAAAGCTCATCTGGGAGATGAATTATTTCTGGCCATACATCATGAAGTGTATTTACAGAATGTTCTGCACTCAGTACAACAGGCATTTCCTAGGCAGGAGGTGCTAAAAAGAGACGTCAGCCCTTGATGGAGAAACTGGGACAACAGCAGCTGTCCGGAGCCTGTGGCTATTACTGCGTAGGATGCCCTACATATTCTCAGGCTGAATAGACTGAATAGAGAGGAAACAGCTGCGAATATCACGCTATTTTTTTGCTTAAAGCCACCTCAAGCCTCAATTTGGTCAGCAGATTCATAACCTTTGGAATAGCACTAGGTAAATTCTCACAAGCCGGCCCCCTAAACTGAAACGGCCTTGCAAAAAGGCCTGCTTTCACTGACAGCATTTACAGGCTTCAACACGAGTCATTTCCTCCACCGAGGGAAATGTTATTTTGATTAAAACAAAGGCTTGACGGTCAGTGTGGCTTTATAGCCTCTAAAACAGGCTAATGTGTCGGCTTTTCCAGGTGCCCTCACCCTGCAATATCCACCCCGGTATCTTCAAAGCGCTTATCCTCACGACTCCCATCTTCCAGATGAACAACTGTAACACAGCGGCCAAACCAAACTCACGAAGGAAGAGGAGAGCAGAGGAATGAACCAGCACCCCAGAGTCCCCATCTGCACCTTCCTCACTGCTTTATAGCTTGGGAATCAGTTCCTCGACCTCTGGTTCAGAGCAAGCAGATCAGTGGAGGGCAACTGTGTGGAGGGACCAAATGACAGACTGACATAGGGAAAAATAAAATTCCCTTGCCTCTCTTCCCTCACAGTGACCTGAGGATGCAAGGGAAGGAGGGGAATCAACAGGGTCCGCACAGTACTCAACTGTTAACACCTGCTTTTGGGAGATCATTCGAGAAAGAGGTGTACACGGATTTCTGAAAGCAGAGAGCTTGAAAGGAAGAGGGAGGAGAGCAGTCCAAGAGAGGGGTAGGAGAATTAGGAAGGCCAATCCTTGCCTGGAGAGGGAAGGTCTGGAGACAACCACGAGCCTGGGAGAACATGGAAACCTACGCTACATCTGGGAGCTTTCATACAGTGTCACAGCCAAGGCAGCAGCTCGCAGCTCCGCTGAGTTACTGCAGCAGCAGGGTCTAATTTTCTGCATATGCCCCAACCTCCCTTTGCACAGCGAAGTCAATGAACTCCTCCTCCTCTCTCATCTTACAGGACTTGGTGTGAACGAATGCTGAGAAGGACATTGAGGACAGCAGGAAGCTCATTAGGGTGGGAATGCATGGAGGGGGGAAGCAAAGTGTTGGGATGGGCTCCTGCACTGCGCTGAGCGGTAGGAGGTGAGGACATCACCTGTGTGCTCTCCAAGGAGCTCAGTGCTGCTGCTCAGCACAAAACGTAGGACCAGAAAGTGGTGATGCCCAGACCCTATATAATTTTCCCAGAAGAGATCACACAGGGGAAAAGGCAGGGCATCCAGGAGAGGAGAAAGGGAGATGCAGTCCCAACTGGCAGCAGAGGAGCTCCCAGAGCCTGGAAAAGACTCATTCCTGGGGATCCACGCAGGGACCCGTATTTGCTTCCCACACTGCCCAGTTTCCAGCACCAAGAGGCTCCCCAACTTTCATCTCTTTGCTGAGCCGCCCACAGGCTGCTCTCACCTCGCGCTTCCAGGAAGCCTGGCCTCCCTGGCTGCTCTGCTCTAACTTCTCCCTGTCAATTATTTGCTCTCTCCTCTCCTGCACCGAGCAAAACGAAGGTGAAACTTTGCCAACACCTCCAGCTTCCCGTGAGCCCCCGCCTTGCCCGTCCACCCCCAGCTCCTGGCGCTGCCCCTGCCGCCGGCTCCGCTCGTGTTCCAACAGGTTCTTGGTACCGGCTGCTCCCCCTCCCTGCGGCCTGGAGTTCACTGCAGTTCTTGGAACCGCAGCTGCTCACAGCAAACGTGAGGACGGCGCCTGCCAGTACCCGAACCGCAGCTGCGCTAGCGCCCAGCCCTGCAGCAGGAAACGCAGCAGACTCGTGCTGCACAGGAGCCACAGCCGGCCCCGGGAAACGGCCCCTCCGCTGCCTCTGTAAGCGAAAGCACAAGACGAACAAGAGGAAGGGCAAAGGCAAGGACAGAGCTCATGAGTTCACCCTGCATTCCCTAGAAACACCCTTTTTTCCTGGCCTGCATGCTCAGGGAAGATGTGAGCCAAGGCAGCAAGAGGCGTTAACTTCTTGGGTCAGCAGAGAGGACAAGGGAAGCAAAAGATGCACTAAAC